CGCAAAGATCCGTGTTCATCAATGCCAGCCGTGTGGCCGACTGGGCCCATGTTATTGGTGCTTGCAACCGTCCAAAAGCTTCAAAGCATTTAGCGCTTGGTGATGAGCGGATCAAAATTTTCCGATCCGGTGCGTTTGCCACGATGCAAAACAATTTCACGCGAGCAGGCCAGAAGCTTTTACCCTTGGTCAAACGTGCCTTCTTCTGCCTACGCTCTGTCCCCACAGCAATGATTTTCCATTCCATTGCAGCACTCCTACTTCAAACCCTCGTGTCTCAGCAGCCACCGGAAGAGAAAGCAGCCAAAGCACTGCAGCGGCATTATCTTGTCAAGCATGGCCGCCAGCAAGCGCAAGCGAACTTCAAGGTGGAGGATTGGCCCGGTGAGCAAAACACATTCTACACCGCAGAATGGTGGTGCGGCTTGCAGCGGATACAGCCCGGCTCCGCTTCTGGCACGCAAGCGCAAGAGTCGTGGCACCGCTGGAAGCTCAAGAAATACCTTGGCCTTCGTTCCGACTTGTCTTCCTTCTCCAAGAATTTAGCTGATTTCACTAAATCCCGGCTTATGGACTTGCGTGGGGAAGGCTCATGTCTCCCAGACATGCCGCCTGAACCTTTTCCCGATAAGACTGTTTTGCAAGATTCAAATGTTTTGACGCGGCAAGGCCGGTCATCCGCAGATCAATACTTTCGTACACGGGCATGGGACAGATTTGATGATGCCGACGGGACCACATTTTTTTGCATGCGTCGCACACTGGCCACTTATGACCATGCGTCCAACAGTTGGAAAAATACACCCGACAATGCGGTGCCATGTCCTTCATCTGGTTTTGCGCAAGCTTTTGCGAATCTGGTCCGGGCGAATTCTGAAGCTTGCCTAATCCGTGCCTTGTTCAGCCTTGGCTTGGCGCAGCCCCTTTTGGATTTAGAGAAGCTTTTGAAGCTGTTGGATTCCTATGTCCTTGTTGCTGTCGGCCCGTTTGCTTCTCAATTCTGGCGTCGGGAGTCCCTTGCAGGGGAGGCTAATCCACACACACAAGGCTTCTGTGCATTTTGTCATGAGTTTTGCCTGCACGCAACCTGTGAGCACATGCACGCGGCCTTCCTTATCTTAGGGCAACTGTCTCTCCAACGGCCTGTCTTTCTGGAACGGAGCAAGCCCGTGCCACTGTTTGAACAAGACCCGGTAGAAGTCTTGCTGCCGGCAGCGTTGGGTGGACTCTCAGCGCGCGGCCAGACCCGGCCTGACCCGCTCGACCTTCCTCGAGAAAATGCGAACCTCACCGCCTTTCTGCGTGCCCACAATTGGATTTTGTGGAACCGGCCGCTGCAGCAGCAGCAGATGACAGTGCAACAACTGTCCAGCCTCACCTTCGCAGATCTGCGCCTTGCTGCGCCGACTATTCCTTCCGGCGTTCTCCTCCAAATTCAATCTGCTGCCTGCGAGTGGATGCATCGTGAGGCCGAGACCTTGGAATCTAAGCTCAACAAAATCAGTTCCGTGTCACTTGCGGCTGTCCTTCCATGTCTGCTTCGTTTTGCCTTTGCCTAGTCATGCCCGTTGCCTTTCCTTTTTCATGCCCGTCGCTTGCCTTGCCTCCACTGAGGTTCAAGCCGTCAGTCCGGATGTCTGGCTCGCAGCTCCACTCCTGATTTTTCCATGGCTTCCAGATCCAATCTTATTTTTTTGCTTGCCTTGCCTGCGTTGAGGTTCACGCTGGCTCTCCGGATGTCTGACTCCCAGCTTCGTTCCTGCGCATTCCAGAAGAAGATTTCAGCTCAATCTTTTGCGTCACTTGTGGCTATTCCACGTGCGGTTGTCCTTTCATGTTTGCTTCGGTTTGCCTTTCCTTTTGCATGCCCGCTGCCTGCCTTGCCTCCACTGAGGTTCAAACCGGGTCTCCGAATGTCTGGCTCCGAGCTTCGTTCTTGACTTTCCCAGGCATCGCTTTCAATTCAATCTTTTAAGTCACCCGCGGCTGTTTCCGAATTGGTGCGTTTTGCATGTCCCTTTTCATGTCCGTTGCTTGCTTTGCCTGCTCTAAGGTTGAAGCTGGCTCTATGGATGTCTGGCTCTAAAAATTCTTCTTGCCGAACTTTTGCGTTTCAGCGTAACCGCCATGTCCTCCGATGTCCTCTGTCAATTAGAAATGCGTGTAGCTGCTGCCATGTTCTTCCATGATTAACTTCTTCCTCCCATATCCAGCCCTCAGCTTTGGTTTTGCATTCCGTCTTGTTTCTGGCTGCGCACATGTGTTCCTAGCTGCTGCTGTCTCAAAGGCCAACAAGTCTGCTGAACCTGCGTCACTACCAGTTGCACTCCTAGATGTCCTTTTTGAGCGAAACAATCAATTCCTGTGTAGGTTTAGTCTTTATTGTAGCTTTTTCTGCCGTGGTACGTGCACATTAGGAACAGGCTTTCTCATCCGAGGTCCTGCTCTGAGTTTTTTTTGTCGCATGCTGTCTGCTTTCTTCATGTCCACCGGTGTTCCTGCGCAGTACTGTACCTAAGGCGAACAAGTCTGCTGAACCTGCCCCACTATCAGTTGCAGCCTTAGCTGTCTTGTTTGCTGCGAAGACGTCATGTTCTGTCGTGGTGCGCGCACATTAGGAAGCGGCTTCCTCATCCGAAGTCGTGCTCCCCGGTTTTTTTGTCGCATGGTCCCGTCTTCTTTCTCAACGTCCGCATGTGTTCCTACTGCCTCAGGCCAGCAAGCCTGCTGAACCTGCCCCACTACCAGTTGCAGCCTTAGCTGTCCTGTGTGCGCGAAGGCGTCATGTCCTGTGTAGATTCTTGTCTTGCCTGTGCCTGCTGCCCGCGTCCACTGAGGTCAGTCCCGCTTCGCCTCCGCCCCCGCAACGTGTCCAGCTCTTAGTCCGGCCCGCGTTTCTTTTCCCAGTGTCCTTCTCCTTTCAATGCCCATTGAGGCGCCAAAGCCTGCCACTGCGAGAAACATTGCTGCTCGCTTGCCATATTCTTGCAGTGACTTGCGTGTTGCAGTCTACAGTCGCTAGTTCTCACTGTCCGAACCTGAGGAATCTTACCGGCGACTTGGAGCTGATGGCTTGCTCCCTAGACCTCTGAGCCTTGAACTCAGACATGTTCCAGATCCTTCTGCAAGAATATGAATGCATTTGCCTGCTTCTTAAGGTAGAATATGAATGCATCTGCCTGCTTCTTAAGGTGATTACAACGCTTGCTGATGCGTCTACCGCTATCGAAAAAAGGGGCCAGTGCAGCTCGCGTGTGTGCATGGCTCCCAATATGAACATTTTTACGTCATAAATTTTTACGTTCATACAAGTTCCGGTCTCGCCGCAATTTCCATTCCTTCCATTATCGCCACTATAACAAGTAAGACAAGTATTAAATGACTCGACGACAACGACGACGACGACTACTACTACTACTAACTCCTACTCCTACTCCTCCTCCTAGTCCCACTCCTACTCCTCCTCTCTGCTGCTGCTGCTGCTTCTATTGCTACCACTACAACAACAACAACTACTACTGCTACTACTATACTACTACTACTACTACCACTACTACTAGTAGTACCATTACCATCTACTACTACTACTACTACTACTACTACTACTACTAGTACCATTACCACCTACTACTACTACTACTACTACTACTAGTACCATTACTACTACTACTTCTACTACTACTACTACTACTACTAGTACCATTACCACCTACTACTACTACTACTACTACTACTACTACTACTACTACTACTACTACTAGTACCATTACCACCTACTACTACTACTACTACTACTACTAGTACCATTACTACTACTACTGCTACTACTACTACTACAACTACCTTTTTTGTTTTTTTTTGATCCTTATTTGTTTTTTTTTTTGATCCCTTAATTTTGTTTTTTTTTGATCCTTATTTGTTTTTTTTGATCCTCTAGCCTTATCTACAACTACCTCTTTTGTTTTTTTTTGATCCTTATTTGTTTTTTTTTGATCCCTTAATTTTGTTTTTTTTTTGATCCTTATTTGTTTTTTTTGGATCCTCTAGCCTTATTAGGGGGATATTCTAATAATTCAATGGTAGAATCCCAATTCAACAGCCGTCACAGCCGTTTGTGGTGAATCCCAACCACCTGATAGCCAGCAATGTGAGCCCGGCCCACCTTAGACATTCCCGGTGGGTTGATGTCGTCAAACACAACAAGGAGGTGGAGGAAACTAGGTCAATCTTGGATGGGTAGTTTAATCCTTTAGTCTTGGATGGTAGTGTCAAAACGAAACTATCCAAACTGTTTTCCAATACATTCGAACATCTCCAAACAAAAAGAAGTTGCGGCAGTCTTTGGACGGAATGATAACCTACTCTGACCTGACTGTCCCCCCGGTTCATGAACCTACTGCTGCTACTAGATTCAAGGCATATAAGATGATCTATAAACGTAGGAGTGTTGAATAATTAGTTGAATTTGTTCGCATGTTTCTTTTCAATTTGGTGCATTTCACCTTTCAGTCCCGCCAAGACGGCTAGGGATGAGAGTGTTCAGCGTGACGTGCTGTGCGAATCGAGGTATCAATGGGATTATCTACTAACCAGCTAAGACTTTAATTTTTTCCAGGGTCTCTAAGATTGGCCATGGAAAAACACCCAGTCAACATCGAAGTTGAGAGTTTTCTTCATGTTTGTTTCATATCAAAACCTTAAATGATGAACGAAACAGCACCCACACTTTGCGATGATGAACCAGCCGGCTGGTTGAGCTGGCTTTGCCTGTACGTTTAGGTTTTCTCCAGCCACACAAGAGAGCACAGGCAAACCCATCTCAATTGATCATTTGTGACATCCCTATTTTGGCTGACCAAATCCCATAAAACCCATTCAAACTCCAACTTTTGATGATGTTCATCGAAAAATCACACACCTCATATTATCTCCTTGAAATTTCCCATATATTTGGGTGAAATCCCCATCGCCACGGGGTTATCCTTGCCGTTTCTGCCAAGGATTTCCCATGCGTCGCGTTTTGAGGTGCGGCCCGTGGGTGCTGGTGCTCCCCCTGCGTGGCTCGGTGGTTCATCACGCAAGACCGGCTTGGCCGACCGGCTTGGCCGAGCTTAAAGGTGATGGGAAATGATGAGAGAGCATATGGGGATGGGTCAAAACCCTATCCCCCTGGTGAACCCCAAAATAGCTGGTAAATGGATGTTCATTCCACTAAAATTGATAGTAATAGGTTTTGACCCGATCCCATATGGGAATAATTGAATAGAATATAATTGAATTTATCTTAAATATATGTGTAATATCAATGTGACAATGTGTATTTATACCATTCACCATCATTCACCATATATTGATAGTCTATTATATTATAGTCATTGATGGTGAATTATAGTGGAATTAAAGTGATTTTGCATGGGATATCGATAGGAATATGATATGATATGGTCTATTTTTGTGGATTATTTATTTCTATATAGTGATAGGAAACCAACCATATGGGAAGAAAATTAGATGGTGATATATGTTGAATATTTCTGTGGCGGTGGATCCAAAGGTTGGGAAGACCGTATCTTGGGAACTCTCGCGAATACGGCCCGCATTTACCATTCACCATATTTATGAACGTTCATGGTGATTTATAGTGGATTTAATGGTGATTTATTATTCATTTGTCATAAAATCAAACACATAGAATACAATTTATGTGATGACCTGGGTTTGTTTAAAGTGATTTCTTGTTTTTCCCAATGGAACATTCATCTTTTGGGGAATCGAGAGGGAATATGTTCTATCATTGTTCGGACTAAGCAAATCCCCCAGAAACCATGGTGGATGCAGGTGATTTACACGTATTTGGGACCATAGAATGGGGGTGTTTAATATGAAGGGGGGATGGAATTATTTTGGTTCATGTCTCAGTTGTTTTTGTTGAAGTGATTTGCCTAGATACATAGATTGCTCCAAATATCCATTCCGCAACTAGTCAGCGTAATAGTGATATAGCTAACAAACATGAGATTATGAATGACATAAGCAACAAAAATGGGGGGTTAGCGGACAAAGAGGATGATGAACCAATAAGGTGTGTCCAAAAAAAACATTGTAAACCAAATATGGAGGTCGAGCATGGTCATCATGGTCCCCGCAGAAGCGTTGACCCGTTCTCATTTGAGTGGTTGCTAACCCCCGGCGGGTTGGTGGGATTGTACTAGCCGACTACACATTGGGGACGATCATCGTCTCCATGAGCTTTTTCTTGTTTTCGGAGGAGACCGGCATGTTGCAAGTGGATTGAAGAGCTCTGGAACTGAAGTACGTTATGTGGTGGTGGTTTGGAACATTTTTGATTTTTCCCATCATATTGGGAATGGAATAATCATCCCAACTGACTTTCACTCCATCATTTTTCAGAGGCGTAGGTATACCACCAACCAGTTTATGTGGTTGCTGAGAAATACTCAGCAAAAAATGGAGGGGTCCTAAGTCATGGGGCTACCCCGAAATCCACATCATGAACCGCCGGTCACCACCACTTGGGTCCAGTTTTATATATGCCATTTTCAGTTGCCATGTTTGATTTCCGGAGGTATGCATCCCAAACAGATTTAAAAAAAACATTTATGTAATAGGAACAGGATGATACCTGTGGGTAGTTTGACAGTTTGCTATGGAAAGTCACCATGTTCAATAGGTAAATCTATAAATGGGTCATCTATTCCATAGCTATGTAAGAAATTACTGGAGCTTAACCTGTTGGAATTGGGAACAGCCCATTTTCAGGTACCAAACCCAGGCTGGGCCAGCCTTTTAGAGTCCCGAAGTGTTACGCCGCGATGTGTTCAGCTTAGGAATCTGCTTGACCTTCATGATGAGGTACGCGGAGGGACGGGGAGGCCTTGGAAGTGATGATGAACAAAGGGAATCATCCTCAATAATTACTGTAGCTAGCCGAACATTCGCTGATTACCTACATATCTACACTATGTATATATTATATACAGTATATACACACTTTTAGACGAATAGAACTTGGGGTGAGTCCTTCCGATGTTCCGAAATCTTCACTTTTGCTTGATATCCATTAACTGCAAGCGCCCTTGCCCTTGTGGTGAGAAGTTTTGGAAGCTCCGTGAATGGTCTGTGCTGCGCTGAAAGGCATGATTTTCTGTTACAGCAAGGAGCCACTATCATATGATGTTGCGCACAGTCATATAATGTACTGTAATATACAACATCAATCAACATCATACACCACATGATGCCATATGAAGCCAGTAAATAATAGCAGTTGTCATATGGTTTACACCACCAATGCTAAGTGGTTTGAACTCTACTTGGGTTTGTTTGAAAAAAGGATGCCCCTAGAAGTCATTTTGCTTAATCATAATTGTCCTTGTCCAAATTGCCATAACTTGAAGGCATCCCAATGTGTAGTGACACCCACATATGATATATTGATAATATACATTAGATTAAGTCATATTAAACAAACAAAAACTAAATCTAATCCCAGTATATCTCCCACAATGTTGGTTTGAATTAGATTCCGAGTACCAAATTTCAAACCAAATAAGTTCCCAGAATCCAATTGAAACATCTCCTCTGCAGGCTAGCTGGTCATCACACGGCAGGTCTTGAAATCTGCTGGGCGCGCCACGAGCCAAGCGAAGAAATGGCGTCCGAGGGCCCAACACAACGACCTCGTTGATTCGTCATGAATCATGGCTGGTTGGTGGTGACTGGAACATGGCTGGATTATGACTTTCCATATCTTGGGAATGGAATGTCATCATCCCAACTGACGAAGTCCATCATTTTTCAGAGGGGTAGTAGGCTCAACCACCAACCAGATAGTTCAAGTTGTTCTTAATAGGTGATGTTTGGTCGGTGGAGTCGATGGTTGATTCATGTTGATTTGTTGAGGGATATGCTGACATGTTTCATGTGGGAATATCTTTGCTGGCACAGTATTTTTGGACGCCCAGAAAAACTCACCAATTTCTGAAGACATGATAGAGGGTTTTGAAGTCTCACATAGGATGGTCCACGTATATTTGAGGAAGATGATGATTCAACTGTGGGAATTCAGGGTCACTGTAGGCGGCATACCCTTTTTTTGACCGACTCACATTATTTGAAGCGGGAAATGGATAGGAACTAGGAGTATAGAATGAATTGTGGATAGTCGTCTAAGTCTGGTAAGTGTGGCTGGTACTGAATTCAACATGTTTTTTTTAAAGGTGACTGGTCATTTTGCAGTGATAATCCGGTGATAATCACAATGACCATGGCTAGAAACTACCCTCTGGAAACTAACATAGCTATTGAAAATGGCCATTTATAGTGAGCTTTCCCATTAAAAATGGTGATTTTCCATAGCTATGTTAAATTACCAGAGGGTAATATGACTGGAAAGCATGACATCAACTGCCATCAACCAGGCCATTCCTGGCTTTGTAAAAGGTGAGGTGTCGACACTGGCGGTACCCAGGGATGTTTTTGGCATGACGTGGTACCGAGACGGACACCTTTGTTTGGATTCTTTGGGGTGTAACTTGACATGCTTTTGCACCATGATTAAGTAGTCATAGTCATAGTGCTTGGTGGTTTCAAACATTTTTTTTATTTTTCCATATATTGGGAATAATAATCCCAACTGACCGTCATATTTTTCAGAGGGGTTGAAACCACCAACCAGCATATGGGGATGGATCAACACCTATGGGGATGGGTCAAAACCCATGAAATTACATGAAATTTGGGGAAGATTCATCCATTCACCAGCTGTAACTTAGGGTATATCATAGGGGTACCAGGGTACCCATAACCAGATGGTTGTGACTTTGGGATACCCGATGTTCCCCAGCACGGCTTGATCTGAGTCTTGATTTCCTTGTTCGTATCATGGTATACAGCTGCTTCCCATCACACAAGTTGGGGACCCACATGATAGTTTTTATTGCCCTATCATTATATGATCTATCGACCATATATATATATATATATATCCCAAATTAATGGATATGAATTCAATTTTGTATCAGGTCTTCGCCTATTCGACCAATGGACCATAGACCAATGGACCAATGGACCAATGGATGGGGGCCGGAGCAGTGGCGGTGTTGACGGTGTGTTGACGTGTAGGCACCGAAATTCTGTGTCTCTAATCCGTAAACCGAAACGCGAGAAATTTGTTTGTCATTCCGTTTCAAGGATGAATTTCTTGGCAGTATTTTCATATATTTTCATGCATCCATGCCGCCTATGCCACTTATATTCATAGTTCTCATTAATGAGTATAGGCCAAGAATGTTGGGCCAAAGCCATGGCATGCCGGTTTCAGATCCGGCAAGGCACCCCAGTGGTCAAACACCGCTTCGAAGTCGCCAAGGCAACCGTCGCTACAAGATCAATCAGCCTGCTTTGTATCCCTGCGAGGAATTTGCGACTTGGACGGACTTGATCGTGAGTTCCGGAATCGAACCGTTGTTGAGGAAATTGGAAAAACGATATTAGAGTTGCATATAGGTGTCAACAGTTGTAAGGTCTATGAGTCTATATCATTCTATATCCATTGTAGTTTAAGCTACCGCCGCCCGTAGCGAACTCGGTGTTTTTGCTGTTTTTTGTTTATTATACTTTCCTGACTTTCATCTGCATCCGCACATGCCTTCTTTACATGATCACACATACATTACATACTCACACATACCTTCGGGTGGGGGGGTCTTTGTGCACTTGCTCACATGTTCGATGCTACGCTCCACATGTCTTCTTGACATGATCACACATACCTTCGGGTGGGAGGATGTGAACGTCTTTGTGCACTTGCTCACATGTTCGATGCTACGCTCCGCATGTCTTCTTGACATGATCACACATACCTTCGGGTGGGGGATGTTAACATCTTTGTGCACTTGCTCACATGTTTGATGCTACGCTCAACACCTCTTGTTTGCATGATTGTACATACCGCCAACATCTTTCATGCTACGCTCCGCATGTCTTTTTTACATGATTACTGTAGACGTTCTACCAGAGAAGTGAGAAGACAACATGGAACAATGGCTGATGGAAAGCTTCACCGGCCCAGCGGTTGAGGTGAGCCCAAAGTCCGAGGAGTATGACGTTGTGACGAGGTGCGGCTCGGGGGTTGTGGTCGCTGTGGTCCAACAACTCGACGCCAATGGATGCCATGGTGAAAGCATCAGAAATGCGGGGCTTAAAGAGCCAACCATTTGATGGAGGTGTCATTTGATAATTTGGGAATGTCACTTGGGGATATATTATGGATTATTATGGTATAATCGAAGTACTCAAAGTTTATCATCCCCCAAGCTGACATAAACCCTGCTAAATGAGGCTGGAAGATTCTGATTTATTGCGCTGCTCTCCTTGTTAAGTCCGAAAATTGCGTGGCAGTGATGAGTATTTTGGGTGTGGCAAGTTGTGGCCAGAATTGGAGCGTTTGAGCGGGATTACAAGCCACTTTTGATTATAGGATTTGTTTGGCTGTGCATTTTTTGATCACAGACAAGAATTCACAGGCAGCTGGAATAGGCTTTCACAATTTCTGAATGAAGTGCGATGAAGTGGGTTCAGGGGCGAATGTGACCCTCAGGGGCGAATGTGACCCCTGCTTTTGCGTGGCAGGCGCAATAGTTTCAGAGCCTCAAAAGGATTTTTTTCCACCCTAGAGAGTCATATTCACGTGCTATGCGACGTTCCAACAGCAATTTCAATCAACTTCCAGGACACTATGGATGCTATGGTGTACCATTGCTACGTTGTAACATCCATTTCGAGCAACTTCGAAGATGCTTTGGATGCTACGTTCCAACAGCCATTTCAATCAACTTCCAGCACGCTATGGATGCTACGTTGTAACACCCATTTCGAGCAACTTGGAAGACACTTTGGATGCTACGTTCCAACAGCCATTTCAATCAACTAGCAGCACGCTATGGATGCTACGTTGTAACATCCATTTCGAGCAACTTGGAAGACGCCTCGGAAGCTACGTTCCAACAGCCATTTGAATCAACTTCCAGGACACTATGGATGCTACGGTGTACCATTGCTACGTTGTAACATCCATTTCGAGCAACTTCGAAGACGCTTTGGATGCTACCTTCCAAGAGCCATTTCAATCAACTTCCAGGACACTATGGATGCTAGGTTGTAAGATCCATTTCGAGCACCTTCGAAGACGGTTTGGATGCCCCTAAAGGTCCCCCAGTCCCCCTAAATGCCCCCTTGTCCCCAGGGTAAACCCTAAAGGGTTGAGTAACGTATTGAATAGAGAGGCAAGTTAGCATATGCCTCCAAGTCCCCCCTAAAGGTTCCCCAGTCCCCCTAAATGCCCACTTGTCCCCAGGTTTAACCCTAAAGGGTTGAGTAACATATTGAATAGAGAGGCAAGTTACCATATGCCCCCAAGTCCCCCCTAAAGGTTCCCCAGTCCCCTAAATGCCTCCTTGTCCCCAGGTTTAACCCTAAAGGGTTGAGTACCACATTAAAAGTTTTGTGGTTCAGGGGCGAATGTGACCCCTTTTGGTTCAGGGGCGAATGTGACCCTCTTTCAGGGGCGAATGTGACCCCCGTCCCTGTACAAATGCAGGCTTCGCAGCCTGCAGCCTTGCAATGTCGACCAACAGTCTCAGTTATGCGACTGGATCTGTGGAAAACGAAGGAACCCCACCTGACCTGGTGGATCTCCATTTTTGCGTCTTGAGTCTTGAGTGGTGAAGAAGTGATGCGCACGAAGATCCTGGCCGCCACTTTGGGCCGGGAAGTGCGACAGATGATCGCAGAGCAGCTTACGTCAAGGCCTGGTGCAACGTTTCTTCTCCATCATGGTGCTTCCAAGTTGAGGCTTGACAAGACCTTGCAAGAGCAAGGGATTGTGGGCAAGGACGTAGTGTTGACATACACGTTCTGCTCAACCGATTTGTATGCTGCATGGTCCTTTGTGCAGAGAACGACGTCAAGTGCAGAAGTTACATGTCCATTGGAAGGGGTGACCCAAATAGAAGGCGCCTTACATATCGAGTGCCTGCGCAGACTCCCGGAAAGCCTTCACAAATTGAAGTTTCATCATAGCTTCAACCAGAGCCTACAGCTCATTAGCTTCCCAAGCGGTCTGCAAAGTTTGACGTTTGGTGATGACTTCAACCAGAACCTGGAGGGCGTGACATTCCCAAGCGGTCTTCAAAGCTTGACGTTTGGTAATCTTTTCAACCAGAACCTACCTTCCCAAGCGATCTTCAGAGCTTGGTTTTTGGTCTTGTGTTCAACCAGAATCTGGAGAGCGTGACCTTCCCAAGCGGTCTGCAAAGCTTGAAGTTTGGCAATCGCTTCAACCAGAACCTGCAGGGCGTGACCTTCCCAAGCGGTCTTCAGAGCTTGGTTTTTGGTCTTATGTTCAACCAGAATCTGGAGAGCGTGACCTTCCCAAGCAGTCTTCAAAGCTTGACATTTGGTGGTACGATGTGGTACGTTTAACCAGAACTTAGAAGGCGTGATCTTCCCAAGCGGTCTGCAAAGATTGACGTTGGGTAGTCTATTCAACCAGAAGCTGGAGGGCGTGACTTTCCCAACCGGTCTGCAAAGCTTGACGTTTGGTAATCTCTTCAACCAGAACTTGGAGAGCATCAACTTCCCAAGCGGTCTTCGCAGCTTGACGGTTGGTGATTACTTCAACCAGAACTTGGAGAGCATCAACTTCCCAAGCGGTCTTCGCAGCTTGACGTTTGGTGATTACTTCAACCAGAAGCTGGAGGGCGTGACTTTCCCAACCGGTCTGCAAAGCTTGAGGTTTGGTAATCTTTTTAACCAAAACCTGCAGGGCAGGACCTTCCCAACCAGTCTTCAGACTTTCGTGCTTCAGGGTGTATTGGTGTCCTGCAGGTGATCGTTTCTGTACTAGTTGGAGTAGATTCGCCCAGAATTTCTGAAAATTTCAGAAGTGCAAATCGATCCATGATTCATGATTCGCCAGATTTGGCAGGAAGTCGCTAGGTTTGGCCAGATGCGAGCACATAGAAATATTATGACGTAGTTCTCTGTGGCTTTCCATGGTTTTCCACGATTTTCCTGTGTAATGTGTCCTTTTATTTGATTCTGGGAGTCATGGACAACGGTTTATTATATAAGGTCAGTGACCCGCTAGCTGTTTGTCGAAACCCAAGTGTCACTGGTTAATACAAATATTCATAATTACCCATGTCACATCCCCGTGCTTGTTGATTGAAGACTCCAAATGTTGTGCCATGTTGTGCCAAGCATCTGTTACCACAATTGGCCAACGCATAAATTGATCCGCCATTTGGATGGTCGGGGACCGTCCACAGGTACTTCGAAGCCACACTGGGCCAGCGCTGCAGCATCCAATCGCTCACGCGGCTGCCCGCGCCACAAGAAGCCGCTTCTCGAAGAGCTTTCCGCACGGACGGGGACCACACGGTGATGTTCCACGGATGCCGAAGCCACTGAGGATCAAAGAGCAGGAAAGTGGGACGTTTACCCAACAACCGCGGTGAATTTGGTGAATTTGGAGTGATCCCCACCCAGGCCCTGACACATTGTATATTCTGACATAGTTTCTGACATACCATCTGGAAATATATATGGCATATATAAATATATATATATATATATTATACGCATATTATTCTGACATTCTATCTGATATTCTTTCTGGCATATGTATCTGGCATATCTTCTGACATACTTTCTGGCATTCTATCTGGTATATCGTCGGAGATTCTTTGTGGTTGAGGTCCGGCGGGGAACGCTCTGCTCCTGAGCTTGCTGCTCGGGACTCGGGTCCGGCGGGGAACACTGCGATCTAGTGCTTGCAGTTGAGGTCCGGCGGGGATCACTCTGATCCTGAGCTTGCTGTTCGGGTCCGGCGGGGAACACTGCGATCTAGCGCTTGCAGTTGAGGTCCGTGCTTGCTGTTCGGGTCTGGTGGCCAGTGGGGAATACTGCGATCTAGTTGAGGTCCGGCGGGGATCACTCTGATCCTGAGCTTGCTGTTCGGGTCTGGCGGGGAACACTGCGATCTAGCGCTTGCAGTTGAGGTCCGGCGGGGATCACTCTGATCCTGAGCTTGCTGTTCGGGTCCGGCAGGGAACACTGCGATCTAGCGCTTGCAGTTGAGGTGCGGCGGAGGAGGAGAAGGAAAAGGAGAAGAAGGAGAAGGAGGCGTGACAGCTGACATAAAATTTAACAACCCTCACCTGACAGGTGGGGAATAACACAATATGATCGTGCGTGGGGATGTATGATGATGCATGTGTATACTTATATCGAAATAGTGGGAGATTATGAGATATGACCATCGTGGGCTATGCAATTGACCCCAAGATGATGGTGAATTCAACCTAAACATGGACATTTTAATTATGGTATGTGATGTTTTTCCTTTTTATATAACAAACCGATACTTTATGGAGATCATGACCCAAAAAAGATGGTGAACCAAAAAACTTTATAGTATAATATAATATATTAATATATGAGCGACGGCTTTTATTGGCTTTTGTGGCGTACCGTTTGTCAAAAACATCATTATTAGGTCGTAAAACGAGGTAAGAACACCCCCAGAACGAGGTAGGCATCGCAAGTAAAGCATTTAGCTATTAAAAATATGTGCGGAATTGGATAACAAGGTCAGACCCCAAAACACGTGACTGGACTGGAGAACAAGGTAGGAACACCCCGTCAATTGCGTTGTGTAAAAAAAAAACATTCCGCGGTTCATATACATACATACACTATGTACATATATATATATACACATATAATATGTATATGCAATATCTATCATACGTGGGTATCATGGGATATAATGGACGATCATGGACGGACAACAACAATGTCATATCATGTTGTCTTCGAGTCGGGCTCAAACAGAAAATGATTGTAAAATCATTTTTTATCTAGAATACTTGACATATCATCAAAACAGAAAAGAGGAATTCACCAAATTTGTTTTGCCAAAAATTATGTATTAGACCTGACATATGGTAATTAAACAAGGAAATCATCAGTGAGTACCCTCTGGTACCCTATATTCAGTCAAACCCATGGTGCTGGTATAGTTACCTATGACTGGATCATCTTTTGTGAGTTTTTACGGGCATGAAATTGAAGGTTGTGGATGATATTTGAAAAGCAGGCCATCACAATTTGAAGATGGTTCAAGTCAGAAGTAGATTGCAAGAGTCTCGGTGAGTACAGGAAGGTACCCCCAGGTATAGTTCCCCACCTGCCAGGTGAGGGTTGTTAGATTTTATCAGAGCTGTTGTCCTCCTCCTCCGCCTCCTCCTTCTCCTCCTCCTCCTCCGCCTCCGCCTCCTCCTCCAGTTTCTCCTCGACCATGTCTGCATCAACTTCCACCTCCACTTCCGCCTTGCCAACTCTTCGCAAAGCTCTTCGCCAACTTCACAGCTCAGTGCGCACCGCTCCTGGGACCTTCCCAGCTCAGTGCGCACCGCTGGACCTCAACCTGGGACCTTCCCAGCTCAGTGCGCACCGCTGGACCTCAACGGCCAGATAGAATGCCAGAAGATATGCCAGATAGAATGTCAGATAGAATGCCAGAAGATATGCCAGATAAAATGCCATAAGATATGCCAGATAGAGTGACAGAAGATATGCCAGATAGATCCAGATAGAATGTTAGAAGCTATGCCAGATAGAATGCCAGAAGGTATGCCAGATAGAATGCCAGATAAAATGTCAGATAGAATGCCAGAAGATATGCCAGATAAAGTGCCAGAATGTTTGCCAGATAGAATGCCAGAAGATTTGCCAGATAATATGCCAGAAGATATGCCAGATAGAATGCCAGATGGAATGACAGAAGATATGCCAGAAGATATGCCAGGTAGAATGCCAGAAGATATGCCAGATAGAATGCCAGATGGAATGCCAGAAGATATGCCAGAACATCTGCCAGAAGATATGCCAGGTAGAATGCCAGAAGATATGCCAGATAGAATGCCAGAAAATATGTCAGATAGAATGCCAGAAGATTTGCCAGTAACAAAATGTATAAATGTCATGGTGGGGATCACACAAAGTAAAGTATTTTTTTTTTAGTGGCTGTTGGTTTATAAACCAATCTGATTGTAGATGTATCGTATCCATGACGAACATGAAATCGCCTAGTTACAAATTAACTGAAACCTATCGAACTGGAAGCCCCTTACTGTAGGGGTTACAAGTTACAACATGTTACAATCCAAACCAAGCACTTACAGTACTCTCCAGCAATCAAGCATAGCAATGGAAAATCCACTGTAATTAGATGGATTGTTCAATGTTGAAATCATCCATACATGTGCGATTTTCCAGCAAACTATGTTCTCATGTCAGATCTCAGGGCACTGACAGCCGGTGTCACCCTCGAAGTCCCAGAGCTCAAAAAGCACGTCCTCATGAGAATCCGTAGAATTCCGTGGAAAGTGGACCAAAATCCGTCACATGTCCATGTATGATACAGATGATCTATATATACCTTTTGCGGTTTTAAGCGGCGTTGCTATGGTTTTGAAGACCGAGGGCCCCTTTTGTGCCACTTTTGCTGCGGACTCATTTAGTTTGGCCTTAGAACTTACAGGCTATATGAATCCATCATGATCCATCTATAAAGTCTATAAATACGTTTTTTCAGAGGCAGCCTCTCGGATCTTCATGGATCTTCAAGGGGGTTACCTTTATATCTCTGGTGAACCATGGAGCCAACATTTTTGCCAAGCACTTTCACTTGGCGCGCTCCCGAGGCGAAGTGAACGAACGGAATATTGTGACCAGTGGCTGGGCGTGGGTTCGGTTGTCAGCAGTAATTGCTATAGTCATGTAATGCAGTGTGAGTAACAACACGGTCAAACGCCATCGTTTGCCCGGACCGGGAAGGATCATCATCCTTGTAATGTAATAATGATGAACCAGCAGGAGACCCCCCAAAACCACCCCAACCTAAATGGTAATGATATGTATCTTTCAGGGCTCATGTGCAATGATGAGGAACAAGCAGGATACCCCCGCAACCTAAATGGTAATGATATGGATCTTTCAGGGGTCATTGCATGTAATGATGAAGAACAATCAGGATCCCCCCCGGTCCTACACCCCAGCATAATGATATGTATCTTTCAGGGGTCATGGGCAAGAAGGTAACCTTTTAATCATACAGGTAATTTGTTGTAGCATCTCTTAGTGTTTCCGTGAGTATTCCGGGCTACCGTCCTGACCCACTGAACTTCTCGGCAGAATCCCACCGCTGCGGGTGAGATACGCCCGCTCTGCTGGCGTGAGCCAACCCAACAAGAGCTGCCAAGCCTTCATTCCCTTTGGGCCGCGGCTGTATGTTACTGCGGCACGGCGAAGTGTCAATGTTGCCATGGACTTCAGACATGGATGAACATTGAATCATCATGATTAATTCGTTGGTTGTTAAAACAGAACAGAGATCCCACATGGTATGATATGTATCCAATCATGGTACAATTTCCGATTCCGTGCGACTTTAAGCCACATGGCATGATCAATATCCCAACATATATATATATGATCATGTTATGCGGATCAACCTGTATTGATAGTTATCTGAAAATACATGTGCATGTTGTGGCTGTTGAGTTCTTGGGCAAACGATAGTGTCAGCGCGTAACATTACCAATATAAGCAATAATTATTTCCATGACATGGTTTTCAATCACCGGTGATGGTAATGTAGTTATTTGTTGTCCTAGGTTTGTTTAAGGTGATTTTTTTTATTTTCCCCCTGAAAATTCCGCCATTTGGGGAATCTCTAGAGAATATTTTTGGATTTTTTGGGGACTTTTTAAGCGAATCCAGGTATTAGAAATATGATTTCATGATATATCATTGTATTTCCATTTTCCATGACATTGTTTTCAATCACCTGGGGTTATCACGGTTGTTATTTTTAAAAAGTTCTGGATTCGTGAGTGTTCTCCACATGAATGGGCAGCTGACGAGGCTGATCCCTTTGATGGATCCATGCCCGAAGAAGTGGGTTTGCTACTGGTACTGTGTATACATCTGAAAATTCATCAGATAGTAGAGGGGGCAACCCCAATTGCCGGCCACAGTTCGGAATCGTTAAGTTGGTTGAAATAAGAAAGGTTAACTACCCTAGGGACCGGTTACAAGTGGAAAATGATTTCATGTCCAATTTTTTGTTACTTAAAGATTCCCATTCGTAGGGCTTAATCGTGGTTTATAAATATATATATATATATATAGATTTATTTATTCGAGGAATCAGGAATCAATCCATTCAGTTTAATAACCACTCTAAACCCTAAAGCACCTTAGGGTGAACCTACATAGATGTGGAAAATCAACCATGTCTAGATGATTTTCCTACAGAATCCATAGGGAAACCATAGATTTTCCTCTCCGGTATATACCTTGCACAGGGCAACCCTAAACCTTACAACCCTTTTTGTTGAGCCTCTATAAACCGTATAAACCACAATATGAGCCAGCGATTAATCCACCAGATGCTCTTTAATACTTAATGAACTTAGGTATGAATGTGTACATCGCGGAAAAATATGATTGGACATCTAAACTATTCCATCCAGTTGTTAGATGTTCACAAAAGCATCCAATCATCCAACATCATGGTAATATCGAGTTGATTTGGGTGATTCTGACGGGGTACCTCAAGTCATCCAAGAGTATCCAAAGCTGGGAAAATTGATAAGGAAGCCGGTGGTTTCATTTGTTGTTTTAAGGCACGCCCAAGTTCAGTGTTTTATTGATTATATATCCCGCTTTGAGTTCGTCAAATCCGATCAAAATTACATGCTTTATATCCTCACATGTTCATCACATATATATATACATATATATATAATATAATTTGTAATATATATATATATATATATATTCATTTGTACATCTACTTATCACATATATTATCTGTATATCGTGTATATATATATATATTCTGTATATAGTTAATATATCAATATATTGTATATAGTGTATTTATTGTTCATATATATATATGTATTACTATCATTGTTTCTTTTATTATTATTACTATTAGTTTTGTTGTTTATTATCATTGTTCTCATTAAACATCATTATTTTTGTAAGTGTGTTTATTATATTTTATTATTATTAATTATTTTGTTGTTTAGTATTCCTATTATTTCTACTATTATGTTTATTTTATTATTGTTGTTATATGTAACATATGATATTATATATATATATATTATTTATTTGTAATTTAATCATTTATTTCATCACTCCCCTGATGCATGGGTTTGTCTCAAAACATGATACCTCTAAATCCATTGGTTAACGATTTTATAAATTGCCATTTAGAAGATATAACCCTCCTAAACATACAAAAAGATATGAAATTTCCCACCAATTTGTAGATCATTTTCCGAGGGAAACCAGAGGTGTTCCACATGTTTTTGTTTACCCTAGAGGATGGGGCCCCCGTTCGATAGCGTTCAGCTGCCTTATAAGTGGTTTAACTAATTGTTTAACTATGGTTTATGGTATATATATATTCACTTATTACTAATCGCTAAGTTGGTGAACATAACTCCAATAACTATGGTTTATGATACGCAAACAACTATATAGTTAATGGGGTTTATAAACTAACTTATAGCTGGGGGGCCCCGTCCTGCAGGGTGTACCCCATTTTCAGCCCTCGTTCGCCGTGGCCTGAGATGGCTTCCGCGTCTCTTCCTGCCTCAGTGGGGGGCGTAACTTTGGCACATGGCCTCTTGGTACGAGGGAAGCGACCGGGCCCTTGTCCCGCCTATTCGTTGGTAAATAGGTATTCACAATCCCCAGATAAACCAGTGAGCACGTATATCTTTTATTTACCAACCAACAGACAGTGGTATGTGTAGTGGTTCAAATAGTGGCATTTATATGGGAATGTAGTGAGCAAAAAAAATTGTTTGATCAGCCGAACTTGGTATGAGACAGCAAACCAATGTAGCCAATGAAGATAGATAAAATGGGGCTGGCTCTATGCTACCCTTTTTGGGAATTGCAAACATCATTTTTGGGCGCTTATGTAGTGTCAAACAGTGGTGTTCTCCTAATTTGGTTGATTTTTGTTATTGAAAAAATACAAAAGCAACTATGGGAAGTGTTGCTCGGTAGAACTACTTTGATGGTGACTTCACATCGCCCAAAACAAGTAGGACGTCAGCTAGATAGGCCCCACTCACTGCCCATCAAACCTATTTCCACTGATCTTCTGAATCTGGGAGTTCGCAAGAGAGTCTGAAGCAGCAGAGATGTAGGGCCACAAGCGTCAGCGAATGTGCAGAACCTCTATTTTAACAAAAAACTGAGGGATGAAGTAAGGACATGCCTGTTTTCACCCTGAAAAATACGGGACCCAACGAGAATTTCCTCAAGATTGGTCTAGATTTGTGCCATCATGTGCCAGGGTTCAGAGCAAGATTGAGCAAAGGAGTATGGAGAGACCCCCAGACAAGACTACAATTGTGAACAGCAAATCTATGTATTGCTCCAAAATTAGGTCATGCCCAAAACCAACATATTCTCATTTCTCTCTATAACGAAAATCGTTTGAAACCAGTGGACGTTTGGGAGTCTTCCTCATTTCCAAAGAATACACACATTTGGATGCATGTGTAGGTCTTGGCCAAGTACGACCACCTCACAAAGACCTCCTAGATGATATATTTAGTCAAATTCTCCCATTGGCCAAGGTTTCCAGTTCAGGAAGTGGAATTTCCGTCTTAGTGGTTTAACCATTTAACCAGCATTTTCCTTTGGTTTTCCTTTGGTTTTCCCATGGTTTCCAAGCGCACAGTGCGCCCTAGTTTGATCCCCGAAAAATGCTCCAGTCACCGCCTGAGGTTTGCCTATAAGGCCACTCTGGTTGAAGAAAGGCTGATGCCCACCGAATGGCCATCAATAATAATATATAATAGATATCATCTGGGTAAATTATAACGACCTCACTGCGACCTCACTGGGTTAATAAGGGAAATCATCCCCAAATGGCCTTAATTCAGGTTAGTGAAATATTATAATTTACCCAGATATCATAGGGAAAATGATGATTAATGGATTTAGGGGACCTAACATGAACTAACTAACCCATACTAAGGAAAGCCTTTTCAACCAACGAAACTATTTCATGTATGGGAAAGGCCGGGGTATAACGTTCATGGCTCGTTATTTCTGGGCAAGCCGCTGATTTTCCGGGGAACACATGTTGGATGTTGCAGGTATCGGTTTTTGTTGATCCCCAAAAAGATGCTGAAAAGTGTGAAACTAGGATGGTAGTTTGATGATACTGTGGATGGGCCAGCGAAATCCTGCACCAGTTGAAAGATGCTTTATCATGCTTTATCCATGTCCCATTATTTCTAGGGTTGAAATACCATCCAGGTTCAGGATTTCGCTGGCCCATCCACTGTATGTATCACATATGTCCAACTGTCCCACTTTTCTATGACTTGGGGGATGGTCCCCACGGAATACCATCATGTGCTAAACCCAGTAATAAACCATCACTATGTGAGGCCCCCAAACGAAATCGCTAAGTTGGTGCTCTTATAACTCCAATAACTCTGGTCTATGATACGCAAATAACACTAAATAATGGGATTTATTTACCAACATTCACATCACTGGGGGGGGGCACATTGTAATGTTGCCTTAAAACTGGGTGGTAAACACGTAAACATCATCCCCAGATGATATATAGGTTTATTGGGTTTGCCACATGATTTTTTTCCATGATGGTCCCTTTCGGGAGTTGAAACCGTCGAGAGACCCATGTGATGGCGAAGAATTATGAGAGGGTAGCTGCAGTCATGGCCAACTGTTGTAAATGGGATGAAATAACTCCTGCAACTGGTTGGTTATAATATGACTTAAATATACTTAAATGATTTTTTCAGAACTTTCTGATCATATGTGATCCACTTGTTATTTGGTGAAACCTTCAAAGTGGGCCCCCCTTGATAGCCAAGTTTGTTTACAACTCCAATAATATCTAACTATGGTTTATGATTTACTTATAACTTGCAACTATACTTAATGCGGTTTTTAGAAACCAACTTATTATAACTGGGGGCGGCACATTGTTGTACTAATGAGATTTCCTCTCAGTCCCAGACGATTTCGGGATTGCCAGGCAGATTACAGCAACATTGGGTACGCTTTTGATGACAGGAAGGGATGGCGACACATCTTCATTTGCTTCTCGGCGTCAAGTATTGGTGAAGTGATTTTGGAGTCAAAGGCGGGCGTGGGAATATGGATGTTCTGCCAATAGCTGGCTTGTGAGTTCAAAAGCATTGCGATTCACCTCAACTTGGGATAAAGTTCCAGGCGTGTATATATATATATATATACACATAATCACCACCCCTTTAAGGCTACTTTTCAGGGGGACCATACCAAAGATACATTTTTTGGGACCCCCCTAAAATGTAAAATTGGTCGCTGAACGCACCCCAGGTGTTGTTTTTGTGGGGAGGGTCTTCAAAATACCTTCAAAATATAAGCTGACATTTTCAAGGCCCCCCTCAAAAACACCTTAAAAAACGTAGCTTACATTTTGGGTATGTCCCCCCTTAACGGTGGTGATTATATATATATATATTATAGAGAGAGAGAGAGAACATTATCTCGATCCACAGATGTCATGCCACATGGACCATTTGAATTTCATAAAGTTGCAGATTCCCCTGGAAAAGTCCAATGGTTTCCAACACTTATTTTTTTCAGTCTCTATAGTTTCAGAAGGAAACCAATGAGTTTCGGGTTCTGAAAAATTCAGGCCGCCAAGCTGTTGAATTCTTTAAATTTCTCAGAAGATTGCTATTTGGAGCAATACCAGACCCAACAAGTCAACCAAGAGGCATATATGGTGACTTCTCCCGAGACAACATCCTGGGGGCAGTGGATTTGTTTCGCATGCAAAATACCATGGGATGATCATCCCTCCATAGTGGCATGGAAAATCCATGGCTTTTGACTGCTTTTGACTCATCCCCAATGATTCCCACAAACCAATACATACCATATTACCATGATATCACCATTTTAGTTGGTCAAACTGCGTCTTTTTTAGGGTTGCACAGCGAAGCTGGCAGCCAGGTGTGGTGTCCTACTACCACACCGTCTTGGACAACGGCACCATGAGAGTGGTGGGGCAAGGCTGTGCCTATCCTCAATGGTTGCTACGATGCTTGGTGTACCGGTGGATCAACAAATGACATGCCCGGAAACCTCGGGGTGGTAACTCCCAAAATGTGTTTCCAGGATGCTATAGATGCTATAGATGCTATAGATGATGTTCTTTCCCATAAATTCCATGTGTGTGTTTTTTTTTCCGAAATCCAGCAGTGCATAGCACGGATAGGTCAAGTCATTGCAGTTCGACCATCCATCCGGGATCGTTCAGGTTTGAGTCGTGAACGGTAGATATCATGTACGAACATACTATACACACTCTACACATCTATACACTATGTATACAATATATATATATATATACACTATATATGTATATACACTATATATATATATATATATATATGTATATACACTATATATATATATATACACTATATATATACACTATATATATACACTATATATACACTATATATACTATATATATATACACTACATATATATATATATACACATACACATATATATATATATCAGATAAACTACTGTATTAAATGCTAACATATGCTAACACTAACACGCATAGCCCACTTCCACCCCACCTTGACTGATCCTCAGGATACAAGCTGCAGCCTTTGCCATGTCCAACACCTGCAGCAGCACCCGCAGCGGCCCCGGTGCGTCCACCTGCGACTTGGCACAGAAAGGTTTTCACAATCAATGGGTGGTAAAATCCATGCCCCCAAAGGATAGGTTTTTATGGCATCCGGTTTACCACATTATGAACTTTTGAGCTTGGTGTTATTTTTTGCTATGATTTACAGTATTCAGATCCATGATAACGGAACTGTTATTTAACGGGTTAAAACAAAAGATAGTTGTGTTATTCTTTTAATCCATGTCATCACTTTCCCGCTGCTGGTAATTACCATGGAACATAGTCAGCCCAAAATGGACTCAAAAAGACTAGCAAGTTAGCACTACTAGTGCGATTTAGTGAATTTAGGTTTCGTGACATAGTAGGTAATCAATAGTAATTTACTAGTTATAATAAAACTTGAGCCAGCTTTACTTTCCCACAGTTATGGCCCTTTACCAGTTGTAAGTCAGTGAAATAGTCCCATTTGTGGAATGATAACCCCAGTTGAAACTACCTATAACATCCTATAACAATTAACTGGTATTTCGGGCAGTAATTGCATTTTTGGGGATTTGTTTCAGAAAGGACTTCTTTCCCCAGGCTCCGGGTACAACCTTCGGCCTTGAGGCTGCTGTGACCAGGGGAAACGAGCGCACTTGGTATGTGGTCCGCAACGGCAAGTGGGAACTTGAAAAAACCTGACAGTCGGACCGGTCGAGAAACTGAAGGAATTTGAGATCAGCAATCTGATCCAGCAGTTGTACAGATTTTGAGATGCTTCTAATCTGCTGAATTTTGGTGGATTAAAACTTTGCCGCAGCGAAAGGGCACCATGTACAGCTGTGCAGCTTCAAGTCCCTGCGCTGAAGGCCTGTTGTCATGACATGATTTCCGGAAAAAGAACATGGAGACGCTGAGATGTGAGAGCCCTGAAGCGGAAGGCCCTAGTGCCTCCAATGACAGATCCTATGGGGTCTCCAAACAAGGGAATGTCACCTAGATTCTTAGGGAAAAAAATCGACCTATTGGATATTTTAGCACCTTGGTTATTAAACCTCAGCTTTGCTTGTGTCCCATCTTCACCCTGGGCCAGGTAGCTATATATATCTATAGCCTTTTTTCCTCCGGTAATCTCATCTGGCAGGCTCGAAACTTCCATATTATATTATATGTATGTACTGTAAAAAGAACAGAACATACCCTCTGGTAAACTAACATAACTATGGAAAATCACAATGTTTAATGGGAACATCCAGTATAAATTGTCATTATCAATAGCTATGTAACAAATTACCAGAGGGTAATCTCCAAATGGTCATGTTCCATTGCAACTGAGATGCTATTGGATGCTCTGAGATTGATAGTAAGTATGTGACGCTAATTGAACCAACTTGAACTAAACTGGTTGGTGGTTTGGAACATGGCTTTTATTTTTGCATTCAGTTGGGAAGAACCATCCCAACTGACTTTCATATTTTTGAGAGGGGTAGGTATACCACCAACCAGTAAAGTATGAAACATATTGAAGTCACCAACCAATCACCGATGAAATACCGATCGCTTTTTGGTCACTGATAACTCCGTTTAGACAATTTGGTTGGCTGGGCATGGAACCCGGGTGCCCTGACGAAACCTGACCTGACATACCCTCTGGTAATTTAACAGTTTGCTATTGAAAATTGCCATTGAAATAGTGGATTTACCCATTGAAAATGGTGATTTTCCATAGTTATGTTAATTTACCAGAGGGTAACCTCCATCATTCGCTTATTTGTTCTATGTGTCTATTCTATGCTCCGACTGGATCCCATTATGCTCAGTCAGACTGCGAGACCCATCCAAAGATACCAGCAGATGGATAGGAGCAGTTTGGTGCAAGTTGATATCTTCAAATTCACAAGCAGATGTTTCCATCTGTGACACGCCCGTGTTCTGTTTGTGGCTCAACCAAGTGCAGCATAGTCACAAAGAACACTTGGATCCTTCGATCATGCATGGAAACGGGTAGAATTTGCCTTCGTAACTAGGAACTTCTGGAACTTTGAAGGTGAAAATCATATCATAAAACCATGCCGACAAATGTGGCTTAGAGAACTCAAACGTATTTACGGACGCCTTGGAATCTCGAAGCATTTGCCGATTGCCTCAGCTTTGATTTGGTCGATTGCGGTTCCAGATGGCGGATCCCAGGTAGGTTCTGGGCAGGGCGGCAGGGCAGGGCGATCAACCAAAAATGGAAAGACACATGGGGATGGGTCGTTTTTTTGTTTGAAGAGAACATGGGAAGTGAACTTCAATATACAGGGCAATTGATATTGTAGCACAACAGGAAAAGTTATAACATATATGTAATTATATAAATATATGTATTATGTATTATACATAGATATACGAAGCAATTCCGAAGCTAGGTAGATCAACACACCCAAGTGCAGATTGACAACCTTGGTTTAGAACCGCTACCAATGGACAGATGTGAACAGACAGAAGAAAACAAATATCGTTGGATTTGTTTTTTTTCTCATGACTCGAGCTTTCGAATGTAGACTTAGCTGTGTTGATTATATGGATCCACCGCAAGTGACTTTACACTTTTTTACATATTTACATATACATACATATGTATTATATATATACATATGCACAGATAGGTAGAGGCTAGTATATAATGAATGAAATTTGTATATGTAGACTTAGAATCAAATCTATTATATGCGCATATAGAATAATTAACACACAGACCCCGAGGTTTGCCCAAGCCCAGAATAGCGTAAATACCAGGGAATTCTGCACGACGTCAATCAACGGGAAGGATTTGATGTTCAATTATGTTGCTAGGGTGTTAACCAGAACATGTGGCTTCTACATATCATATAACCAGAACATGTTGCTTCTACATATCGTATGGAATTAACGACACAGTCATTAAAGGGTTTCTTTTAGGGTATCAAGAAAATCTCAAAATCCCCCAACCACATGGCATTAACCATACAGTTATTAGGGTGTCTTATAGGTTTCAAGAAATCAAAATCATCATTACCGCCATCATCGTCGTCATCACCATCATCATCATCGTCATCATCATCATCATCATCATCATAGTCTTGGCTTGCCTGGACGCTCGTTGCTAGTCCGGGCAAACCTCAGGGTCTTGCCGGATTACACAAAGACCACGAGGTTTGCCCAAACATATTCACTATGCCTATCCGTAATCATAGCTGTTTTTTTTCCAAATACACATTATATTTATATTCTAAGGGTCATTGTAAACATAGTATGATTGGTTGTACCTCGACCATCCAGTTGTAGCCATAAAGATTGTCACCCTCCTGTAAAAACTAACATAAATCTGAAAAAAAGGAAACTTTCCTAGGGTAAACTAACATAGATGACATAGATGTGGAGTTTACCTATGTTTACCCACCATTTTGGCATCCATCGATTTAAGTCGATCCTTTTCCAAACGGGGTGAGAAACCACCCCCAGCTGCCAGGAGTTCCTTTCGCGCCAAGTCTATAGGTGACCGGGATGGGATGGGATTTACCACAAACAAATCACCATGAAACTAGGCCAAAGATCAATATGTGCATAATATATATATATATATATTATTTGTATACAGCTATATACATATAATGGTAGTTGTTTATATATATATAATTATAATATATATATATATATTTATAGAATATATATATATATAAATGTGGGGCCCCCGTTTGGTAGCTAAGTTGGTGAACATAACTCCAATAACTATGGTTTATGATACGCAAGTAACTACATTTAACGGGGTTTATAAACCAACTTATAACTGGCGGGGCTCACATTGTACTCTTCAAAAAGGATGTGATTCAATTCAAAGTAACAATCCAAGAGGATGGAATGGGATATTTATAATATATATAATTATATGACTTTAGATGGTTTATGTATGTTTAAGTGTTGTTTTTGTAAACAAGACGAATCTATGTTATTCTATCACTCATGTCGCTCCATGTCGGTACATGTGGTAAATCCACAAGGGGATGATCAGATGGTTTTTCTTGGGAAATAGCCTCTGGTAAATTAACAGTTCGACCCTGAAAATGAGCCATTTTTTTAGTGGTTTCACTAATCTTCCAATAATCTTCCAACCCGATTGCCAGGGTCGATCTGTTAAGATTACCGGAGGGTACATGGTAAAGGACTCCCTTCACCCGATCTGCGAATGAGACGGTTAGTTGCGAGTTCAGGCATTGGTCGAAGATGTGTTGTTTTCATTCTTGACGAAGATGAGCCAACATAAAATGACCGGAAAGGGAAATTCACGGGCACACCCCCCCAAGTCACTTATGCAGACTTATGCATGTTATATATGCGGACGTTAACCAAATCTGCCATCAAATCACCCACTCATCCCAGCGCTTGAGATACTCAATCCATCAATCCCAAAGGCGGCACCATTTATGGAGACCAGCATCTTGAAATTGCCACCCCAAAAAAGCACCTGTGGAAATTGGCAAAACTACAATTTAGAAACAGGAAGCTGCGTATTTTGGTTGAAGTACCAGAGTTTCTAACGATTTCTCACCGAAATACGAGTTTGACGTGCATGTTCACGGGTTTGCATTGAGGGTCAAGGGATGTGGGTTTGTGTCAAAATGGAGGACCCGAACAAAATCGATTGGTTAATCATAATTTACCCTTTTAAATTGCCAGAGCTCTTCGGTTCATCACCCAATTTCAGACAAACCCAAATACGGTATATTAAGAGTCTTAAGTTGCTCTATATATATATTTAATATATATATATATATAATAATTATATATATAGTTCCAAGACTTTATCCTCAACATAGTTCCCCATGATTTTCTTCTGCTTGGAGCGAGGACATTATGTCCTGATGAAGACCATTGGCGAGGGGACTTTTGGCAAGGCTACCTGCCACCTTTTTGGCATCGGGGAAGCTTTGTGAGTGGCAGGTAGAAGTTTCATATCCCATAGGATCCATGTATGCTATATATGGTAACATTGGGGGTATATTGATGGTAAATGTTACCATATATACCATACATGGATCCTATGGGTATGGGGCTGGGTCAAAAGCGATTATTATGACTTTGTAGGATGAATATCCAGCTATACCAGCTATGACTTGGGCTTCATGGCACGTGCCAGGGTTTTGACCCATAGCTATATAGTGAAAACTCTGTAGTTGCCATATTTAAGTGTCTGAAAAGGTGGATTTAAGGTATTGCTAAGCCTCAAGTCATGTTTTTGTTTTTTTCCGGAAGATGATGATTTATGATTGGATTTGGGGGTATGTCCCCAATTTTCAGAGAAACCCAAATTGTTTGCTGAATTTGCTGGGAAGATAGATAGATTTGCTTGTCTTGGTTGCAGTGCATCTAAAATGAGCCACGTTTGCGACTCAATAAGTAATGTCATGTTACCTCTGAACGGACCAAGTAAGCTTGTTTGGTTTGTGATTGTAGGGGATTACCCTCTGGTAAACTAACAGTTTGCCATGGAAGATCACCATCTTTTAGTTCGGTAAATCAACGAACGCCATGGGCCAGTTTCAATAGCAAACTGTTAAATTACCAGAGGGTATACTATCCGATATATCGGAGAGTATCACACTCCATTGTGGGCAATCCTATTAAAAGAAAGGGTGTGTTCGTTTCGGGTTTTGAACACTGACCTAGACGGATCCTCACTATGCCTCCAAAAGAAAAAAAAGTTGGTTATTATTACCAATGTTGTAAACCTCATTAACTATACTTATAAATACTTATAATATGTTATTATCAGTTACAAGCATCCTAAAGAAATAGTGAAATTGGTGTGATATTCACCAACTTGCCATCAAACGGGGACATCCAGGGCGCCCAGTGGTGTTTTTTTTTTTTCAGGTGAAGCTTG